AGGGGCACGTAGATATACCAATCAAAGGATTAGTGTCACCATTACAAGCTGTTAGGGGATAATCGTTCGTTATTAGCGTTCTAGACTAGTTTATAAAAACTTGACAATAAAATTATATATAAATGTAAAATTTCTTGCTTCAAAGTAGATTATTTTAGATTTTTTTTTACCGGGACATAAATCATCTCCGGGACGGACACCTTATTTCCGGGACTGTCCCGGGCATGCCCCTTTTTCGACTTTAAATTTCGTGATTAAGTTTTTACGTGCCATAGCTACTGAAGGGTTTGCCTTTTTGTGACAATTTTATGCATTTATTATAATCAAGCAGTGATTTACCCGATACAACATCTTAATAACAAGCCTTTGTACCTTTTTGGCAATTTTATGTTTTCATATAAGTAAGCATATTATACTCAATAAAACACCCTTTGTGACAACTTTTTTGAATAGTCGAGCGTCGCTGTCCTCCGACAGCTCTTGTTCAAATCAGGTATTTTCCACGATGTTTTAATTTTCACTTTTTCTTCTGGGGTGAAAAGGGGCTCCACTTTGACCTTTTGACTTATTTCTCAGGTGATTGATTCAGGACCCTCTGGACCCTCTTGTTACATTTATGGTGTATTGTTTTCATACTTGGCCACAACCCTTGGGATAATACCTTTTGTAGACCAGACTAACATTGACCTTCATTCATAAATGACCTTGACCTTTAAGGTAAAATGTCTAAAGTGCTCAAGGTTAGCTTTTGTGATCACAATTTGTCTGGCGTCCATCGTCTGTCAATGTGTCCATTGTTAACTTTTTATACAAACTACGTCTTCCAGAAACCAATTGGCTTAGTAATAGAAAGAGCGTCGAAACACGAGGCTATCTGATTTGTACGAGGGGGCGTAGCCGAGTATAAATCTGATTGCTGAGTGTTTGGATTTTCTTTCTCTTTTGTATCCGAGTCAAAAATAAAAACACGTTCCCTGAAGTCACAATTTGAAACCCTAGAAAAAAAACCAATGAACGAGCATCTGAATATGATATTTCTATCTTTATCCCTTACTCTTTCATCACAATATGTAAACCAAAGACAAAATTAACCAATCAATGGGCATGCTTTGGAGTGCGGGTAACTAATACCTGCACTCTTGTTAACGCACTGTGCATGTATATGTATAAGATTTAACTCTGACACATTTTCAACAGAAAGGCCCCCAAACTATGATACAAATTTAATGAAATTTTCCCGTGATGTTCCTAGAAAGAATCCCTTCTTAAATTGTTCAAATACTTCTGCTTATTTGAACATCTGGAACTTGTACTCTGCATTTTATGATTTTTAAATTATTTCCTTTTGTTAATTTTCTTACTTAATAGGCTTGTCCAGAGTATAACTTGGTCACTATAAGTTTGATTGACTCCAAATTGGGTACGTAAGTTTGATTCATTGACCTGAATTGCAGTGCTAAAGAATTCATGAGAGAGTTCTCCATTTGATCTGTCAGTGTAAAACTTTTCAATGGTATGTTTAGCTAACCCGAGTACAAAATGCTAAAGGTGAGCTTTTATGATCACAATTTGTCCAGCGTCCATCGTCTGTCAGTATGTCTGTGCCAGTACGTCCGTTTGTCAATGCATCTGTCGTCAACTTTTTAGCTCACCTGACCACAAGGTGAGGTATAGTGATGGGACTATGTCCAGCGTTGTGTGTCGTCAACAACTCTCTAGCAGTCACCGTTTTGATTTGATCATAATCAAACTTTGTCAGAATGTTTGTCTCAATGAAATACAGGTCAAGTTCGAGTATGGGTCATCTCAGGGCAAAAACTAGGTCACAGGAGCTAAAAATAGAAAAAGCTTGTTAACACTCTAGTGGCTGCAGTGTTGATCCGAATATTCTGGAAATTTGTCAGAAAGGTTTTGTTTTGATGATTACTAGATCAGGTTCGAATATGGGTCACCTGGGGTTAAAAACTAGGTCACAGGAACTAAAAATGGAAATTGATCAGAAAGATTGTTTTGGTGATTTTTAGGTCAAGTTAGAATATGGGTCATCTTGGGTCAAAACTAGGTCACAGGAGCTAAAAAGAAAAATAATCTTGTTAACTCTAGTGGCTGCAGTTTTGATCCAAATATCCTGTAAACTGGTGAGGAAGGTTGTTTTGATGATTGCTAGGTCAAGTATGAATATGGGTCATCTTCGGTCAAAAACAAGGTCACATGTGCTAAAAATATAAAAAAAACTTGTAAGCTCTCTAGTGGCTTCCGTTGTTATCGATATAACCTGGAAATTGGTCTACAAGTTTGTTTTGATTGATGTCTAGATCAAGTTCTAATATGGATCACCTGGGGTCAAAAACTAGGTCACATTGCCCAAATATGGATAAACCTTGTTAACACTCTAGAGGTCACATTTTTGACTCAATCGTCATCAAAATTGGTCAGAACGCTTGTCTAAGACATTGCTCGGATGAGGTCGATGGGTCAGGGGAGTGATCTAGGGCCATCTTGGCTCTCTTGTTATACAAACAACTTCTCCTCAGAAACCATTGGGCCAAATGTGATGAAATTTTCCTGGGATGTTCCTAGCATGAAGTTCTCCTAAAATTGTTCAAATGGTCATGCTTAATTGAACATCTGGGTCAGGAGGGCTAAAAATAAATTTTTGAAATGAAATCTTTAAAAATCCCCTCCTGAAAGTGCAAGGCATAGGGCTAAGATATTTTGTGTGTGGCATCATGTGATGAAGTTTTACAAAAATCTGTTCAGATTATAGCCCTGGTGTCAAAATTGGCCTCACTTCAGGGGGTCATTGATTTTCCTGATATGTATATAGTAAAAACTTAAACAATCTTCTTGTAAAAAACCGAAAGAGCTAGAGCAAATGTATTTGGCATGAAACATCTTCAAGTAGATTTCTACCAATTTTGTTCAAATAAGACCCCAAGGGGTCAAAATTGAACCCGCCCCAGGAGGTCATTGATTTTCGTAACATGTATATAGTAAAAACTTTAAAAATCCTCTTGTGACAATCCAAAAGCACTATAGATTAGATATTTGGCATGAAACATCTTCTAGTGGATGTCTTCCAAGTTTGTTCAAATAAATGCCCTAGGGTCAAAATTGGCCCAGCCCAGGGGTCATTGATTTTCCAGATATGTATATAGTAAAAACTGAAAAAAAATCTTCCTTTGAAAATCCCAAAGAGCTAGAGTCTAGATATTTGGCATGAAACATCTTCTAGTGGATGTCTACCAAGTGTGTTCAAATAAAAGCCCTAGGGTCCAGATTGGCCCAGCCTTAAGGGTCATTGATTTTCCAGAAATGTATATAGTTAAAACTTAAAAAAATTCTTCTTGTGAAAATCCAAAAGAGGTAGAGCTTAGATATTGGACATGGACTTTGTTCTAGTATATGTCTACCATGTTTGTTGAAATAAAACCCCTAGAGTCAAAATTTGCCCCGCCCGGGGGTCATTGATTTTCCTTATTTGTACTGTATATCTGGTATTTTTATTTTTCATGATGTTTCAATTTTCACTATTTTTCGCATATGATATAGTGACAGTCTGTCAGAGCTAAAATTAGAATACAACAACATCTAAACAACATATAAACCACTGACTCAGTTTTGAAATTATTTCACAAAAGAATTTGCTTTGTGATAGTGTACAAAAATTGTTCAGATAAGCTGTCTCTTGTTTTCAAATTGTGCTTTTGTGGTGAAAAGGGGCTTCACTTTGACCTTTTGACCTATTTTTCAGGTGAGCAATCCAGCACTGTGCCCTCTTGTTATTGATAGCTTTGTATTGGTAGTTATCGGTATTATCTGATTCTTTGATTAAATGTTACCATTTGTTTCTTCACTTTCACCCTTTTTTTAGCTCACCTGTCACAAAGTGCCAAGGTGAGCTTTTGTGATCACAATTCGTCCGGCGTCCGGCCGGCCATAAACTTACTTTAAACGACATCTCCTCATAAAGCACTAAGCCAGTTTCATCCAAACTTCACAGGAATGTTTCTTTGAACCTTGTTCAAAGAATTCAATTCCATGTAAAACTCTGGTTGCCATGGCAACTGCGAGAAAAAACTATAAAAAAATTGTTTTAGAAAATCTAGAGCTTAGATATTTTGTATGAAACATTTTCTAGTGAGTATCTAACAAGTCTGTTCAAATAAAAGCCTTGGGATCAAAATTGGCCCCGCCCTGGGGTCATTGATATTCCTACTAGATATATATAGTAAAAACTTTAAAATCTTCTTTTAAAAACACAAATAGCTAGAGCTAGATATCAAACATGAAACATTTTCTAGTAAGTGTCTACCTAGTTTCTTTCAAACAGAAGCCCTGGCGTCAGCATTGGCCCGGCCCCAAGGGGTCATTGATTTTCCTTATATGTAAAGAGAAAAAAATAAATAAAACTTCTGTTTAAAAACCCAAAAGGCTAGAACTTAGATATTAAGCATGAAACATTTTCTAGTGGGTGTCTACCAAGTTTGTCCAAATAAAAGCGGGAGGGGGGAAGGGTCCAACTTTGCCCTGTCTTTCATTGATTTTCCTTACATGTTTAGTAAAAATATATAAACTCTTCTTTTAAAAAAGCCAAAGAGCTAGAGCTTAGATATTTAGCAGGAAACATCTTCTAGTTGTATTTACCAAGTTTGTTCTAATAAAGCCCTGGGGTCGAAATTGGTTCCCCAGGGGTCATTGATTTTTCTTATATGTACACATCTTTTGGAAATGTTGTTTTCCCTTAGCAATAGCAACCAGTATTGTTTTTACACATAAACTATTTTAGATACAAATGTAAACTTTGTGATACTTTTTCCTATCATGGAGAGTTTCTATATTCAGGTGAGCCCTCTTGTTAAGGTGCAACTATGTAATTGAATTTGACATAATTATGTCACATCTTTACTTACAGTTTCTCAAAGACCTGCTGTTTTCCCATATCAAGGCCAAAGGATCGTTTAGCATTGTTTGTGATGCCTTTTTTTTTTCTTTTTTAGTCTTTCAATGAATTCAACCCGAAAGAGCTTAAATTAAGTTTTCTTGAACCAACAGCTTTTGGAAATCCCTCAACATGGATCATTTCATTTGAAACTATGAAAGGTGTTAAGTCATTTGTTGATGCAATACGTGGACCTTGGGAGGCAGAATTTGGAATATCCCTGGATATAAGCTCTGTGGCTTTCGCTGATTCTGAGAACATTAGTGTCGCTTAATAGTACATGTCTAACTTGATTATGTTGAAAGCATGGCATTATATATAAGGTATTAAAGCCTTTTACTTACCTAATTCATGTGCTGAATTGTTAGATAATTGGGCAACAAAGATTAACTGCTGCCTGCAACAGTAAAATATTCATTGAATTTTCTTAAAACTAAGTAATGTTCATGTATATACAATGAATGGTAATAAATTATAATATACCAAATTATCACATATACTTCTTGTTTGTTCTTATTCATTCCGGTGCGTCCGTGACCGAGTGGTTTTGACTTCAAACTACTTTGCCCCTCACCGCTGGGGGTTCGAATCCCCGACAGGGCCTATGGATTTTTTCATGTGAGGAAGCTATCCAGCTAGCTTATGGAACGTCGATGGTTCTACTCGGTGACCGTTTGTGCCTGAAATAATGCACGGAAGGGCACCCGAGGTGTTCGTCCACCACTAAAGCTGGATCGTCGCCATATGACCTAAACTATGTCGGTGTAACGTAAAACCCAATTAAACAAACACATTTATTCTTTTCTTTTGTAAAAACTACTAGTCTGATAAACCATACTTGCCAGGCTTGTTTCTTGGGTGAAGGGCTTCCAAAGTTGTTCAATGCAGAAATCTGGTTTCCATGGCAACCAAAAGGAATTGTAATTCTTCTTCTAAAGACCCACAAGGCCTAGTGCATTGTCCTTTATTATCCCCCGCCGAAAATTTTGGGCGGAGGATATAGAAATAGTCTCCGTCCGTCCGTCCGTCCGACCTTCCGTCCGTCTGTCCTTTCGTCCGACATTTTTGTCCGGAGCATATCTCTTAAAGTATTTGAGTTATCAACTTGAAACTTCATAGGTGGATAGACCTCATTGAGGAGGAGTGCAGTGCACAAGAATGATAACTCTACCTTGCATGATTTTTGAGTTATTGCCCTTTGATATTTTTCAAAATTGATTTTTGTCCAGAGCATAACTCCAAAAGCCTATGAGATATTAACACGAAACTTCATAGGTGCATAGATCTCACTCAGGAGGTGTGCAGTGCACATGAATGATAACTCTACCTTTCATAGTTTTTGAGTTATTGCCCTTTGTTATTTTTCATACCTAATATTTTACCTGAGTGGAGCATAACTCAAAAAGTGTTTGAGATATCAACATGAAATGTCATAGGTGGATAGATCTTATTGAGGAGGAATGTTGTGCGCAAGAATGATAACTCTTCCCTATACAATTTTTGAGTTATTGCCCTTTGTTTTTTTTTATGCTATTTTGTCCAGAGCTTATTTCAAAAAGTATTTGAGGTATCAACTTGAAACTTCAAAGGTGGATGGATCTCATTGAGGAGGAGTGCAGTGCTTAAGAATGATAACTCTACCCTGATTTATTTTTGAGTTATTGCCCTTTGTTATTTTTCAAAATTAATTTTTGTCCAGAGCATAACTCAAAAAGCCTTTGAGATATCAAAATGAAACTTCATAGGTGCATAGATCTTACTCAGGAGGTGTGCACTGCACAAGAATGATAACTCTACCTTTTATAATTTTTCAGTTATTGCCCTTTGTTATTTTTCATACTTAATTTTTCAATTCAATTTTTTTCTCAAAAAGTATTTGAGGTATCAACTTGAAACTTCATAGGTGGATAGATTTTACTGAGGAGGGATGCAGCACACAAGAATGATAACCTACCCTGCATTATTTTTCAGTTATTGCCCTTTGTTATTTTCATTCATCAGTATTCAAATAGGTTTCAAATCTGTAATCACTATAGCCATCAGTTTTCATTACCAAAAGACCTCTTAAAATAGAATTATTCTGTTCTACTTCATATACATTCTTCCTATAAGCAAACACATTCGGCGGGGGATGGCCATGTTGACATGGCTCTTGTTAACATTATTAACATTATTTTAATAGTTTTGGGATCAAATTTGGCCGCCACCCCAGGCTATTATTTATTTTCCTTATATTTTGTAGTAAAAACAGACAAAAAAATCCATACTATAAAAGCTTCAGCTTAGATATTTGGTATGAAACAAATTTATTGTGGACCTGTTCAAAAATTGTTTAAGTTATAGCGCTTGACCCCGCCCTATGGGGAACATAGATTGTTCTTACATATACGAGGGGTGTTCAAATATCAATGCTACTTGGCCAATATCCCGCTTTTAACCACGGTTTGAACGAACTATCTACTTGTATCGCATAGATGGTTGCGTAGGCTTTCAATTGATACAATAAACGTGTAAACCAGTTCTATCAATTTTTGACAATACACGTAGATCGATAAACGTTATCTATTCATGTATACTAAAGCTAAAATGGTTCGGAACAGGTCTCCTTTCACTGACTACAGCCGCTGTATTCCTGGTAAACAGGCGAAACAATATTAAATGAAATATGTCGTGTTCATTGGGACAATGAACGTTCTTTTTCATGTGTCACACGGTGGTGTAAGAAATGTAAAAGTGGTTTGGATTCAGTAAAAGGTGCACCTCATGCACGCCATGCAAAAACTGCAACTTCGCCAAAAATGGTTGAAAACGTGAATGATTTGATTGCTACTGATGCAAGATTTACAACAAGGTATATAGCTAAATGCGTTGGTATCTGTGTAGGAGCCGCTCATACAATTTATTAGATGTGATTTAAAAATGAGAAGGATAAGTGCCAGATGGATGCCTAATCACCTTACAAAAGAGCAAAAAACTTGCCTGAGTTAGTGTTAGCCGGGTCAAATTGCAGATATGATACGGGAGTCTAAAAAGAAAAGAATATGTTGTTAATTCATTGCCTTATTCTTTCTCATTAAAACATTGCGAAGACTGCCGTTGCATAATAACATAAATGTGGCATTGTAACAATTCACGTATTGTTCACAACTAAAAATAACAATGTAATGTTCAACTTTACTCATGTCTAGGGGTACATGCAAAGAGTATTAAAATATAAATCATTAATTATCATGATAATACTGCAATGTAAAATGTTTGGAATGAATAATAATAACATGATTAACAACACAACCTTAATTATTTATATATCTGATTGAAATAAGAACATATTAAACTGATGATTACTAAACTGCTACTATAGATACTAAACTTGAGAGTTCACTATTATGCATAAAACAATAACAACCTTAATCATTGGCATAAATGATAATACTGACAATCAATTTATTTGGCACTTATAACTGTATATACTTAACAAAAGATGAAAGATAATAATGAATTTTTATATGTTCAGCTCGACAAATAGCATATAAACAATGTTCAAAACAATATTTTATATGTTCGACTTTCTGTCGGTTTTTTTACCGAGCTCTATCCAAATATGGCATAACACGTGCTTTTCTAGCTAATTGTCTAAACAATTATAATACATTATTACTAAACTGTATTTCACTTATAAAAAGTTCATAATTATCATGTTAAATAGTTATTAACAATAATCAGTAAATATATGATGATATAAAGATGAATCTCAAAATACGTATGTAAAACGTTTATCCGCGAAATCATATGACTCTAACTTTAAACATGTTTGCCAACTAAATAATACAATGTCAGTGATAACAGTTATGATAAAGAAAAAATACAATGAATAAACCTATCGAGGAAAGTCTTTTTCTTTGTCTTACTTGAAAGTACTTACCTAAAAAGAAAAGAATATGTTGTTAATTCATTGCCTTTATTCTTTCACATTAAAACATGGCGGAGACTGCGCCAAATTACCGCAAAGAATAACTTACGCAAAGAAAGCTCAACATTTTTTAAAGGGGTGCCTTCATCACCCTCACATAAGAATCTCCAAAAATTGTTGAAAAAGGTCCTTGAAAACAACAATCAATCTTTCGCAAATATAATCACTGGCAATGAGACGTGGGTTCACTTTTATGAGCCATTAGATACATAACAAAATATGGGCAAGCAAAGGAAGTCGAAGACCTTGCATAGCAAAACGCACCAATTAATGAGCGTCAAAAGTGTCATGTATGTAACTTTCCTTACCAATCAAGGTCCTGTTCTTTAAATTGTTGTACCAAAAGGTATTTGTAAATGCCAAGTTTAACAAAGGGAAGGTCCTTCATAAATTAAAGAAATATTTTTTAAAAAAACGTTGATCAGCAACTGGTCTTCCTGGTGTCAAGTGGTTGCATGACAATGCTTCATCACACAAAGCAGCCATTGTATGAGAATATCTGAAACAGGAAAAGGTTGTCCAGCTTCCTCAACCTCCTTATTCGGCTGATCTTGCCTCTTGTAACTTTTTAACCAGGTTTTCCGAAGGAAAAAACTGGTTATTAGATTGAGGTATGTCGGCGGACGGGCGGGCGTTAACAATTTCTTCTGTGCGCAACTCCTACATTTCTCAACGGATTTTGACCAAACTTTCACAGAAGCTTTGTCATTAAGTGCCCTGGCGCATATTGTCGGGGTTTTGCCATTGGATAATATTTGACCTAATTATGGCCCTTTGTTGTTTTTTCTTATATAGAATATATAGTGAACAATTTCTTCTGTGCGCAACTCCTCCATCATTTCTCAACGGATTTTGACCAAACTTTCACAGAAGCTTTGTCATCAAGTGCCCTGGCACATATTGTCGGGGTTTTGCGATTGGATAATATTTGACCTAATTATGGCCCTTTGTTGTTTTTTCTTATATAGAATATATAGTGAACAATTTCTTCTGTGCGCAACTCCTCCTATATTTTTCTACGGATTTTGACCAAACATTTACAGAAGCTTTGTCATCAAGTGCCCTGGCACATATTGTCCGGGTTTTGCCATTGGATAATATTTGACCTAATTATGGCCCTTTGTTTTTTTTCCTTATATAGAATATATAGTGAACAATTTCTTCTGTGCGCAACTCTTCCTACATTTCTCAACGGATTTTGACCAAACTTTCACAGAAGCTTTGTTATCAAGTGCCCTGGCACATATTGTCGGGGTTTTGTGATTGGATAATATTTGATGTAATTATGGCCCTTTGTTTTTTTCCTTATACAGAATATCTAGTGAACAAATTCTTCTGTGCTGAACTAGTCCTACATTTCTCAACAGATTTTGTTCAAACTTTCACAGAAGCTTTGTTATCAAGTGCCCTGGCGCATATTGTCAGGGTTTTGTGATTGGATAATATTTGACCTACTTATGCCCCTTTGTTTTTTTTCCTTATACAGAATTATCAATATATAGTGAACAAATTCTTCTGTGCTGAACT